AGAATCCATCCGTGATGTTTATCGTGGAATTCGAAATATCTTCACAAAACCGGCTATTGAAAACGATATTTTCAGTTAGAGTTTTGGAGATTTTTTTGTGTTTTTACACATTTGAAATCGTCAATCAATCATTTTTAGACGACCATCAGAAACCTGGAAGCACTGGGCGGCTGTTTCGTCCCGGTATGGGACTCATCAGCAGTGCGCATCCAAAACTCCTGCACCTCGCAGGATTCGGACCCGGGACCTTCAGTCTTGTGCGCGAACGCCTAACTTCTGAACCGCTTGGCCGGCATCCGACGGTGTCAATGTCTAACTCTGATTGATCTAGGGACCTCACCCATTTGTCTTTGGTAGTTACTGCCCACACCTGACAGGGTTGACCTCTATTGGTCACGTCTTTTCACTAGAACTCCTCGACTTTCCTCCCGAAGCTAGTCACTAGTGAGCACATGTTACAATATTTTCAGTTAGGGGTTTCGGAGACTTTTTGTGTTTTTACACACTTGAAATCATCAATTGTTCGCTCTTGTATGATGTTCATTTTCATATGATCGAAATTCTAAATATTTATATCATAATTAATATGTACTATGATTTCTGTGGCAGCTAATCGGATTTCTAGTATAAAAAGACATAAATTAACTAAGCAATTTGCAGACTTGTTAAATCTGATGGTAGTTTCCATCATAGACTGATATCATTGAAATCTAGGCAACTGCAAGGACTGAAGGTGCTCCTTCTTAGTTCAGTTTCATGAGGAATTGTCAGTGTACTCTCTCTCTACTAAAAGTATTTCAAGCTATGAGCAAATAGATTTCCAATATTAACTGTTTTTCAATGATTCTAAAACCGATCCCTGTGAATGATCGGAGCTAACTTCTTGAAAAAAAAACAAAGAATTTCAATTGCTACTACTCTTTTTTTTAAATTACAGATATTTTGCTTTAGCTGATGGATCCAGTGTATATGTATACAATTATGATGTACGCCTTGTTTGTTCGCTGAAACATGCTAATATACATGCGGAACAAATTTATGCCGATTCTTTATCAATTAGTAACGATGTAATTGGTATTAAAGATCAATTAGATAAGAAAGGTTAGTTTTTTTTTGATGAATTCATATATAAATAAAACTGAAGATTGTTGGTTATGATTCTTTTGAATGAATGCAGTCAGTCGATTTGGTCTCGTGTGCTGTTGTGGGTATGAGGGCGGATATCACATCCCGGCTGCCCACACCGTGGAATGTTGCTTCTTGAGGGACCTGATAAGGAAGATAGATTAGTGTTGGTCTCGGAGACCTGGTTGTGTGACCGCAGAGTCCAAGGGACAACTGCTTGAGGCCGGTCACGCACGGCCTTTTTATGAAACGTTTTTTGAGGATTAGCTCCGTTCTTAAAGGCCCTTAGTGGGCACCCTTACCCAAGGAGACGGAAATCCGTGAGTTAGGGGAGGTGTGACATTTTTAGGGCCGACCTTTTCTAACCCTTCCTTCCTTGTGAGAAGACAGCATCGTTGCAGATGCTGGTTGTCCGAGGGAAACACCTTACTGCTGTCACACCCCTCTGCAGTAGTCAGCAGTACGACTTCGCCCTCAGACCTTGGGTAGCTGCTTTTAGTCTCATCGTTCTCCAATCGACCTGCCTGGCATGGTAGGACCTGCAGGATCATATGTTCCAGCCAGTATAGCTCGGTTGGGTCATCACGATAGGCAAGCCCGACCACCACCTCAAGGTAGCAGCTTCGGTCGGGTGAATGAATGCTGATTTATTTGTCATATAAATCTTATCAGTTGGAAAGTTTGATCATTACTTATTGGTAGATACTGTTTTGTCTAGTCATTTAGAATTTTGATAATCCGTGTCAGAATATAAATAGCATTTAAATGAAAGAGTTTGAAGTGATAAACGTATGAATGATGGTAAAAAGTTAAATAGGAAAGTTAGTTTTTTAAGAATCAAAGGGTTAGTCAGTTAGTCAATCATCAACAGCGTGAAACTTCGTACGTACGTACATCATTTCAAGTTACCATATCACATTAGCACAGAGAGATGGAATTGTCAATTCAAATCCTATAGTAGCAGAGGTAGTAGAAGTATTAGCAGTAATCCGAAAGATTAGAGATGGAAGATATTATTCAAGAATTAGAATCTAGTGAAATAAATTTAAAAAGAGAAAGACAGAGGTGAAAAGGAATTCAGAAAGAATATTAGGATTTGAGAGGACACAAATACTGGATACACCTGTGCTATGGCAAACGATTTTGAGTCATGTAATTCAAGTTCTCTAACCATTGGTTACTATCACGTCGCGGACCTCAACCAGGTAGACTACAATTACTAACATGACTCAGTCCACTTGTCGGTGACTTCGAGGATTTGTGCCATGTTTTGGTTTGGTCAATGAAAAGATAAAGAAATTATACAGTTGAATCATTGTGACCGATTTTGAGAGATTGTACCTGATATCGCCGCCTAACACAGAATCGGATTATTTTGCAAACTTCAATTAGGTGGTTTACATCTCTCATTCCAATTTTAAATTCATTGGTCATTGAATGATTGAACGACATGGCACAAAATCGTTTCCAATGGCGCAGGTGCATCCACTCGATGTGTTCTCTCAAATCCTAATCTTCTCGATTAGTCAACACCTCTACCTTTGTCTTTCTAAACTTATCTTACTGAATTATACATCTTGAATATTATCTTCAAATCATAATCTTCTCCATTACCAGTAATACTTCTACTATCTCTACCACTACGGGATTTGAATTGACAATTGTGTCTCTGTGCCTAAATGTGGTATGGCAACATGAACTGATTTACTTACGTACGAAGTTCTACATTGTAACTGACTGACTGGTTATTGAATGAGTTAGTTAATCATGCATCTTAACTTTGACCAATATGACTTTTTTCGCCAACGCTCTTTTAAGCTGTACACTATTGCCTGTCATGGGAGTCAGTGATTGGGATATATTTTGTGCAGGCATAATATGAAGGTTTGTGCTTTTGTCGGTCGACTTTTTTTTCTGTCTAGTACAAGTATAAACAACCTTACCATTACTCAATAAATGGTTTCATTATACTCGAATCATGTTTGAAAGACATCTATGATATAACACTTGTGAAATCCCCCTTACTCTCTCTCACGCCTGTTACCCCCAAAGGAGCATAGGCAGCCAACCAGTTTTCTCCAGCCAACTCTGTCTTGGTCTTCCTTTTCCAGTTCTTTCCAGTTTTCATTCATTCTTCTCATGTCTTTCTCTATTTCTCGGCGTAATGTTTTCCTTCTCCTTCCGCCTTTCCTCTGACCTTGAGGGTTCCACATAGAGGCTTGTCTTGTGGCGCAGTTGGGTGCTTTTCTCAGTGTGTGTCCTATCCACTTTCACCGCTTCTTCCTGATTTCCTCCTCCACTGGAATCTAGTTTGTTCTCTCCCATAGTACGTTGTTGCTGATGGTGTCTGGCCAACGAATCCTAAGCATTTTGCGAAGACAACTGTTCATAAATATTTGTATCTTTTGGATGATGGCTTTTGTAGTTCTCCAAGTTTCCGCTTCTTTTAATTTCAAAGACATCATTCTAAGGAAGATAAAGTAATGCCGAGAGATCTGCTTCTTGACCTATTCACTTTCTGATAGATAGGTGGACATATAGCTTGCACCACGGCATTGTGATTTCATCAACGACCGACCCAACTAGTCTTGCAGAATTTCCATCATATGTGAAACAGTGAACATGTGTCATCATATCCTGCTGGATTGCGTGTTACTTTAAACCAACATGATTGATAGACCAGCGAGAACATATAGATAATATAACGAGTAACCACAATTTTTTTGTAGGTGTCGATATTTTAGGATCCAAAGTGATGTTTGACGGAAACCATCAAGTTAATCAAGTTGGGTTTGGAATTAGTTTCAAATTGTGGACACAATGTAAACACAAATTATACAATAAAACTGTTTTTTATTTCGTGGGCCGATAAACCTTTAGGTACTTTTGTCGTATCTTCAAAACCTTTACATATCTGGGCAGCATCATCAATAAGCAAGGTGGATCTGATACAGATGTGTAGGTGCGGATCGGCAAAGCAAGGACTACATTTTTACAATTGAACAACATCTGGAACTCAAAAAACTGCCAAACTACATCAAGGTTAGAATTTTCAATACAAATGTCAAAACAGTTTTACTATATGGGGCGGAAACTTGGAAAACTACCGAAGCCGTCATCCACAAGAGACACTTGTTTATTAACGGTTGTCTGCGCAGAATACTTTGGATCCATTGGCCAAACACTCAGCAATAACCTAATGTGGGAGAGAACAAACCAGATTCCAGCTAAGGAAGAAATCAGGAAGAAGCGGTGGAAGTGGATAGGACACACTTTGAGGAAAGCACCTAACTGCGCCACAAGACAAGCCCTTATGTGGAATCCTCAAGGTCAACGGAAAAGAGCAAGACCAAAAAATGCGATAAACCGAGAAATGGAGACTGATATGAGAAGAATGAGCAACAATTGGACAGAGCTAGAAAGGAAGGCTCAGTGCAGAGCATGTTGTGGAATACTAGTCGGCGGCCTATGCTCCATTAGTGGTAACAGGCGAAAGTAACTAATTAACTTTCGTCGTATGCTAGCATCAATCGCAGAAAAAATCGAAAACCTGGGGGGGGGGAGCACTAAACAGCAGTTTTTTTTTTCTACTAAAATTGCCCTCACGTTTCTATGCAAGCTCACTATCAAAGAATCAGCTATTAAGACAAAACTGTCATTTTTTCTTCTATTGTTGTGCGCGCTACTCATAAGTAGTATATGACGCGAGTGAAAACGTAATGTCTGGCAGCAGAAGATGGGGGAAGATCAAGAAAGGAAGAGTGGGAACACAATGGAATTTGTATGAAACGCATGAATAGTGAAATAAATGTCAGACAATGGATTGATATTTTGCAAATTAACCGTTTACGATATGGTTTTCCTATTTTACCAATTAACTCTGTAATTTGCGATAAATACAATTCGGTTGCCCTCACCTGTGTTCTCCTTCACTACACTATGTCTTCATAATAGTACTGTATAATCGCTAATCAATACATGACAGAGAACTCCTACTAATTAAAATAATCTCTTTCATACCCTTTATTAAATGCGTATTTATTAACTTACATTATTTTAACATGAAAAATAATTTACAATTAAAGGTTTAATCCGTATTTGCTTTATTTTTCAGTTATCCACTTATTTGATCCATCGAATGGGAAAATGTTAGGTGATGGGAAACCCATAACACATTCGGTAATTCATGGTATATTTTTTTGTATTTTCATTGAATAAAATCAATAACTATTGGACTGAATTACATTTCATAGTTAATTTATGTCATAGTCTGAAGTTGCCTGAAGAACCAAAATGAGAGAGTCACTTTGTATCAACCATAAGTTTCTTAATAAAACAAGTTGAATGTAATTAGGTGTGAATGGGATTAGCTTAATCATATCTCTCCTTCGCTCTTATCCTTCTAGTTCAATAACCATTTACGTATAGTTTTTAAGAGTACTAGGTAAGGATGGCAGATCAATAGATGAAGTGGTGAAACTTCATCAGTTGAGGTGGTTGGGACATGTGTTACGAATACCTAACCACTGACTGCCTTGACGAGTTATGTTTTGTGGTGTAGGAATAGGTTGGAAGAAAGCTAGGGGCGGTCAAACAAAAACATGACAGAAATCCATGAAGTCACTGACAAGTAGACTGAGTCATGTTGGTAGATGTAGACTACCTGATTGGGGTCCGCGAGAGGAAAGTCACCAATGGTTAGAGACGTTGAATGACATGGCTCAAAATCGTTTGCAATGGCGCAAGTGCATCCATTCGTTGTGCTCTCTCAAATCCTAATCTTCTGGATTCATCAGCACCTCTACCTTTGTCTTTCTTTCCTTATCTCACTTAATTATACTTCTTGAATAATATCTTCGAACCCTAGTCTTCTTCATTACCATTAATACCTCTACTATCTCTATCACTATGGGATTTGATTTGACAGTTGCGTCTCTGTGCTAATGTGGTATGGCAACATGAACTTATGTACATACGTACGAAGTTCTAAGTTGCAACTGACTGAGTGTTTAAGATGTCTGTGTATCAGAAATAGTTTAGGACAGCGCGCGTCATAACAAACTGTTTTTATCTTATTGGAAATTGTTAGAACCTTCGCTAGAGTGAATTTAGAATGTATTCAGGCTCTATGTGTTGAATCAGCTAATTTACATTTCTAAACATAATCCTCATTCAAAGCAAAAACGGCGTGTTAATTAATGTCTCGTTATTAACGTCATTGAATTCAGTAAGAACTTGTGAAAAATAAGCCTGAAGTCATTCAGTCTTGGTCTTTTATTACATATTAAAAGGAATACTATTATTTGAAAAAAGTAAATGAAGCGGTTTCATTTAGCATCGGCTTGCTTTTGTCTTGCAAAAACTTATACAATTTAACTACAAAACAAAACTGATTAAAATAATATTGAGCTTTTCAAGAACGTGGATCATATCTACCTGGGCTAGCATGTTTCATCTGAAGGTTGTAGACATGATAGAATATCAAAACTTAGATTGAAATCATGAATCGATCAATGTTGGAATACCATTAGAAACCTAGAAGCACTGGACTGACGTTTCTTCTCAGTATGGGACTCGTCATCAGTACGCATTTGAAACCCTAGCAAGCAGGAATCGGACCCAGGACCTTGAGTCTCGAATGCGAACACTAAACCTCTGGACCGCAGAGCCGACTTTCAATGAAGTTAATGTCTAACAGTCTTGCGCAACCTCACTCACTGTCTTCGGTGAGAAATGCTCCACATCCGACAGGGTTGAACTCCATTTGTCACGACTTCACACTAGAACTCGGAGAGACTTCCTCATGGAGGTTGTGCAAGACTGTGAATTGATTGGAGTTAGACATTCAGTCCGTTGGATTCCGGCTCAATGGTCTAGAGGTTAGGCGTTCGTGGGCAGGACCGATGGCCCGCTGCCTTTGTTTTTCGTTTTTCATCTAATCAATATATTTCACTAGTTTCTCCTTTCCATCCCTTTTTTTATAATGATAATAATAGAAGGAAATTATTAAAATTAGTTTAAATCAAATGGGCAATTCATTTGATCGTCGATTGGTTCTATTAGACAATAATAAAGATTTATATTTAATGTCAGTTCGAATACTTGGTAATCAAAGAAAAATTATAAAATTAGGTAAGTTTATCAAGTGATTGATTGATTGACAGACACTGACTCCATTTTTGTGTAGTTCAATTTATGTCAGTGTATATCGTTTGTGATGTGAGCGAGATGGATGGGTTTATTGTGCAGTGAGTAGTTCGCTCTGTTCTTATTTATGGGTATGAAACATGGTCTTTCAAAAAAAGGTGAGGATATTCGAAACACTACTTGTATATTCTATGACCAAGGAGTTAGTAATTCTGAGGTTAGACGTAGAGTATTGGGTAAGTACAATAAATCGATTGATGAGGTAGTGGATCTTTACGTATGCTGGTGCACTGACTACTTCAATGCATGATAATGATTGGTGTACGAGTAGGTTGAAAGTAAGTTAAGGGAAGCCAAACCAAGGCGTGGCACCAGTCCATGAAGTCAGTGATAATCAGACTCAACCATAATAACACGTCAATCAATCAATCAATAGCAACGCACGACTTCGTACGTACGTACGTACATCAGTTAATGTTGCCAAACCACATTAGCACCGAGATGTCATTATCAATTCAAATCCCATAGTATTAGAGGTAGTAAAGGTATTATCAGTAGTCGGAGAGGTTGGGATTAGAAGATATTATTCAAGAAGTAGAAACTAGTAAAATAGACTTAAAAAGAGCCATGTCGTTCAGGGTCTCTAACCATCGATCACTATTGTCGCGCGGATCTCAGCCAGACAGCCTACATTAGCCAAAATGACTCAGTCCACTTGTCAACGACTTCATAGATTTGTGCCATGTTTTACTTTGGCCGCCCCTAGCTCTCTTCCGATCTATTCCCACATCGCAAAACATAGCTCTTCGAGGCAGTCGGTGGATGGGCATTCGTAACACATGTTCCTAACCACCTCAACTGATGGAGTTTTTCTACTTCAACAAGTGATCTGCCATGCTTACTTAGGACCCGTTTCCTAACAACAGCATTGTTTACTTGATAGTCCCAGGATATACGAGCAATGCTTCGGAGACACCTATGATCGAAAACAAGCAACCTACGAATATATTCTACTCTGACTGGCCATGTTTCGCAGCCGTATAGTAGGATGGAGCGAACTGCTGCGCATTACATTCGTCCTTTGTTAGCAAACAGATATCTCGTTGAAGCTGTGACGCAACCTGGCGAAAGCTAACCGAGCTTTCTGTATCCGTGCTGAGATTTCGTCAGTCACTAGGCCATCAGCACTGATGAGACTCCCGGTTGACACTCTCAACTGCTTCACTCTCTATCACTAGTTCAGGTGCCTATGTAAGCCAGTCCTAATGAAAAATTTTTCATTTCGACGGGGAGATCGCATCTCAAACTTGCATGCATTGTTACTTCAATAATCATAACCACGTAGACCCAGTGGTTGTTAGAAATGGATTTCTCTAAAGGTTTCCACATATATTTAAATACTGATAGTGCATTATTTCGGAAATACCATATCTATATCCCCTTTAAGTAGAATTTTAATTATTGGCAATTACAATTCCTAGTTTTTATTGAGTCGGTTTCACTGTCTGATTACCAATCTTGACAAGTGTCATCACAAACTTCATATGTGTTATATTTCTAATATCTAAATAGTGTCTACGTAATGAATTCAACTTTAAATACTTTTATTAAGGCATTTTACTCATGTAACTTTTTCGTTTGATAATGTTGTTCGATATTCAATCACCCTTGAATTACATAAATTTAAATTTTCTTTTAACGAATTTGTTTAGCTACAATGGTTAGTTCATTTCTATGGGCTGAAACATCAAATATTTTGGCAGCAATAACAAATGAAAAACTTGTTACTTGGTTTTATCCTGATATTGCATTGAAAAATAGTGATATAATTAATTTAACACAGGAAGAACGTAACATAATGTAAGTGTTATTGAAGAAATTTCAAAAGATTTTTTTTATAGTTGAGTCATGAAATTTAAGATTTCTACTGATTTATTTTGTTGGTTAAACTGAGCCTACTTTATTATAATTCAGTAGTCAAGGTTTGCATTCCCAAATTTTGACCACCTTGGTGCTACATTTGAATAAGCCTTCTTGTATTTATTTGTAGAACCAAATTATTCACTCACTCAGCATATTTATTCGCCTAATAGCTAACATGATGAGGTTTACATTGTTTAAGTTTCGTTCCGGGCAAAAGAGATGTATATGTAAACATTTTAAAGTGGTCGAATCATATTCCTTATCGTTTGTCATAAACTTTTCCAGTAGACCATTTAGTTTTACATGATTATTGATATCATGAATTACCTTTAGGAATTATTCAACCAATGAGTCTATAATGTTTTTATGGAAAGAAAATCATCTTTAATCATTTTGAGTGAAGAATCTTCACTTCATTTTTATCCAGTGTCACATTTGGTTATTATAATCATATAAATAAAAGTAGGTTAAGACCATCAGTGTTGTCATAAATTAACATTCAGTTATGGTAGCATATGTGAATACACATTTTAAGCTTCAATTTGCCACATTTAAACACCGAAATGTTAAGTTCAACAGATCAATACTAAATAGGTTGAAATGTACATTCTGAATTTCGCTACTTACCACTATTCAACAGTCAGTTAGTTAGTCAGTCAGTTACAACTTAGAACTTCGTACCTATGTACATCAGTTCAAGTTGCCATACCATATAATCACACAGAGATGTGATTATCAATTCAAATCACATAGTAGTAGTGTAGATAGTAGAAGTATTAATAGTAATCAAGAAGATTAATGATCAAATATGTAGTATTTCAACTCGTTTTTTAAAATTTTCACGGAGTTTTTAAAAAAATTAACAGAATACTATTTTTAAATTAATTAAAGTCTTCTTTAGCAATCGCTTTTATAAACAATTGCAATGTATATGCCTCGCATAATCTTGTAAACAAATCATTTGTGGTTAATTGATTTACAGAATTTAATCTATGTATAAGATTTGTAAATTATTCATTCAATCCGTTTGCCAGTGATCTTCTTACAATGGATTTAATTTTTGAAAATGCGAATTCAATTGGATTAAGCATACATATAACTATAAGGGGACAAAAACATAACCTTTACTCCCTTTTTCATCAAAAAATGTTTTGGTAATATTAGAGTGATGGATCTTTGCATTATTAAGGATAAAAATGCAATTCTTAAAAATTAATTTTTGATTGCATTTTTCAATCAGTTGATCAAAAAAATGAGTGAACTTATAGGAGTTACTCAGTAAAATCGGAAAACCATATCGTAAATCGTTAATTTGCAAAATATCAGTTCATCATATCGAACTGGATTGTTCCTGCTGCAAAACATCAATCCATTGTCACTATTCATGCGTTTCATACAAATTCCATTGTGTTCTAACTCTTCCTTTCTTGATCTTCCCCCATCTTCTGCTGCAAGACATTATGTTGACACTCACGTCATATACTACTTATAAGTAGCTCGCACCACAATATATTTGTCGTTTAATTTTACCTGATTCTGAGTTGATATTAATCGATGTGTAAGGACATTTTAAGGATTATAAAAAATTTCAAAAACTTACTTACTTACTTACGCCTGTTACCCCCAATGGAGCATAGGCCGCCCACCAGTTTCTATTGTGGTGTGAGCTACTTATAAGTAGTATATGACGTGAGTGAAAACGTAATGTCTGGCAGCAGAAGATGGGGGGAAGATCAAGAAAGGAAGAGTTAGAACACAATGGAATTTGTATGAAACGCATGAATAGTGACAATGGATTGATGTTTTGTAACAGGAACAGTCCAGTTCGATATGATGAACTGATATTTTGCAAATTAACGATTTACGATATGGTTTTCCTATTTCACTTAGTAACTCTGTAATTTTCGTTGAATACAATTCGGTTGCCCCACCTGTGTTCTCGTTCACTACACTATTTTAAAAAACGAGTTGAAATACTATATCATTCGAGATGTATACCACACTAATCAACGATGTTTAGGATTTTTTTTGTTCTCACAAAGTAAGCTTATTATTGACGATATATTAAAAATGATATTGTGAAAACAAGCAGGAAATCAATTGATGAACATGTTTCAATTAGCTTAATCTATCTATACATTTTGATGTTGGACTTTTCAAGAAATTTCGGATACTGTACAACCAATCTGAAGTTAGTTTTCATGTTATGGAATGACATTTGACTGAGCAAAATAGGGCAATTTTAAAGAACTGAACAGGTAAAATGTTGTATATGACTTAGAAAATCATTTCTATCATATTTGACACAAAACTGGACGGTTTTCGGTTGGATCCGTGGTAGGAACGTGCTTACTGACAATCTCTAAACTAGAAAACAGGAGAACTGTCAAATCTCCCTAACTTTTAATTGTTTTCTTTTCTGTGTGATGAAAATCAACTTATATTTTGGTTGTTGTTACAACTGTCATGTTTTTTTTTAAAAATGCTTACTTACTGTTTAATAATTGAATATAAACAAATCACCCAGTTATTTTATTCATAATTTCACCTTCGGATGAAACTATTAGAGTTATGGAGATTAGTGTTTTTACACATTTGAAACCACAATTGGAAATCTGGAAGCACTGGGTGGCTGTTTCCTCCTGATATGGGAACTCATCAGTAGTGCGCATCTACGACTCCTGCACCTCTCAGGATTCGAACCCCATGACCTTCGGTATTGTGCGCGAACGCCTAATCATCGGACCACTGGGCCGGCATCTAGAGGTGTAAATGTCTAACTCTAATTGATCTAGGGATTTTGCGCGACCTCACCCATTTGTCTTTTGGGTAGTTACTGCCTACACCCGACAAGGTTGAACTCCACTGGTCACGTTTTCTCGACTAGAACTCCAAGAATTTTCTCACGAAGCTAGTCGTCACTGGTGAGCACATTGCACGATATTTTCAATTCAAGTTAGGCAGATTGATTGATGATTTCAAATGTTATTTTTTTTATTTCATCTTATAAAACTACTTATTAGTGATGATTATGGCAAACAATTGGAATTAGTGAATTTTTATCGTGATCGTATCATGATCAGACGGGCTGATGGTAGTACAATTTATTGTCCAATATCAATTTATCCTGATAAATTACATCAGCTAATCAGTCAGAATAAATGGAATGAAGCTTTGAAATTATGTTGGACAGTTAAAGTAGGTAAACTACTAATTATTTTATCACAGTGTGTATGTGTGTCACACTATATTTTGTGTGTGTGTGTCACGCTATATTTTGTGTGTGTGTGGTAAACAATAGATAAGAAGTTCAGTGATTGATTGGGCAATTATCTGGTTCCATTACTCATTATATTCTATGTCAATCAGTCAGTCAGTCAATCAATCAATCAGTCATATACAACGTAGAACTTCGTACATGAGTACATAAGTTCATGTTGCCATACCACATTAACACAGAGACGCAAATGTCAGTTCGAATCCTATAGTGGTGGAGATGGTAGAAGAATTACTTGTAATGGAGAAGAGTAGGGTTCGAAGATAATATTCAAGAAGTATAGTTCAGTGAGATAAATTTAGAAGGAGAAAGATTGAGATGATAAGGAATTCTGAAGAAAAGAATTTCAGAGAACACAAAGAATGGATGCATCTGCGCTATTGCAAACGATAGTAAGTTTAAGGTCTCTAACTACTGGTGGCTTTCGTCTCGCTGACCTCAACCAGGTAGTCAACATCTATCAACGTGACTCAGTCCACTTGTCAGTGAATTCATGGATTTGTGCCCTGTTTTTGTCTGGCCGCCCCTAGCTTTCTTCCAACCTATTCCTGCATCCCAAACATAGCTCGTTGAGGCAGTCGGTGGTTGGGCATGCGTATAACACATGTCCCAACCACCTCAACTGATGACGTTTCAATACTTCATCTATTGATTTGCCATCCTTACCTAATACTCGTTTCCTAACGACAGCATTGCTTGCTCGGTTGTCCCAGGATACACGAGCAATGCTTCGGATACACCTATGATCGAATACTAATATTATGCGAATGTCCTCTACTCTTACCGGTCATATTAAATATATTGTGAGCTATTGAAACATGACTAATTTAAAAGTATGAATGAAACAATCCTTTTAAAGGATTGACAAGCATATTAATAGACTTGGATAATGGTTAGCAGCAGTGTAATCCAGGACGCACGTTTCGTCCTTTTTGAGACTCATTATCTGGATGTACGTGGATCTTAGCGGCGTTGTTTTCCACTTCGGGACTCGAAGCCAGTACAGTTCGCTTCAAACACCATCGCGCCATCCACTTTGCTACTGAGTCCAGACTGCATTTAATCATTCTGCTTGGCAAATGTGCATCTTCTGGGGGACTGTCTCAATATTGCACTAGACAGCATTAATTAAGCCTTAAATTGATATGAAAATTAGTTTAAAAGTAGTACTAACTTTGTTGGTTCTCAATAGGTATTGGTGTTAGATGAAAGAAAGTGAACTAGAAATTAAATGAATTTATTATTTAATCCTAATCAATATACTTTTTAATGCAAAATATGTAAGCGATCAATATTTTAAGGGATACTACACCTAACTCAGGTCTCATCACATGGTCGAAAAATGAAAATTTCGGTATTGCGAAAAAATTCATAACCCGACATGTGAGACAAACGGTGGTAATAAGAGTGTTTGATCCCATTTGTATCAAGCTGGGCTGTGTCCCATGGCATACACACTATGTGTATACCGTATGCTATACTGCTGCTATATAGAGCTGAAGGTTTCACCTATGAGACTAGAGGTTCGCTGTGAACATTGTGGGGATAGTTTTTCTAGTAGTACATATGTATGTAAATTTAGTTTTCAGGGTGACCGATTGCATTGACACTAGTGGTTGTTTTGCAACATTGTGATTGGGGTACTACTGTATTGCATATCACGATTGCTAATAATAATGAGTTTGACAGTCATGTAAACACGGGATGGGTCGCATTGACCTGTTCATGCGGTGCGTATTGATTGACGCGATCATGCATCTGAAATAAAGACACTACATATATGTACTAGTGTATATAAATGATGTGAATGTCACACCAGAGTGTTAGGTACCACCTATGTGGTTGTACCATGGGATTCAGCAGAACTGTTCACGTTGAAATGTTAACACATGGGCAGTCTCCTTGGTTCTCTTCAAAACCGATGTAAAATAACCCTAGTCAATAGAGGGCTGATTTGTATAAATATATTTTTTATTTAACTCACAATACAATAATTACCATTGTTTTTATCGATTATTTAAAATTATACAATAGGAACGGATTCTTTGGGCATGTTTAGCAGGTTTATCAGCAAATGCCAAAGTGTTAGATGTGGCAGAAATAGCATTTGCTGAAATCGAAGAAGTAAGTCTCCGTTTTTTTTTTGAAGAACGGTGAATGGAAAAATCACTCGCTGTTTTTTTAATTGAATTATATTGAACCATCTTTTCTGAAAATAGTTAACATCATACGGAATTCTTATGATGGATTCAACTGCAAAATCGTACACGAAGGACAGCTAACAGACTCTTTCGAGGTGAAGACCGGTGTGAGGCAAGGTTGCTTACTCTCACCCTTTCTCTTTCTCCTGTTGATCGACTGGATTATGAAGACGTCGACATCTGAAGTGCAGCACTGCATTCAGTGGACATCTAGGACGCAGCTGGACGATCTGGACTTCGCAGATGACCTGGCTCTTCTATCTCACACGCAACAACAAATGCAAGAGAAGACGACCAGTGTAGCAGCAGGTCTCAACATACATAAAGGGAAAAGCGAAATTCTCCGATGCAACACAACATGCACCAACCAAATCACTCTTGATGGAGATGCCTTGGAGGACATTAACACCTTTACATATCTAGGCAGCATCATCGACGAGAAAGGTGGATCCGATGCAGATGTGATGGCGAGGGTTGGCAAAGCAAGGGCTACATTTCTACAGTTGAAAAATATCTGGAACTCCACACAACAACCAACCAAAACCAAAATCAGGATTTTCAATATAAATGTGAAGACAGTTCTACTGTATGGAGCGGAAACATGGAGAACCACGAAAGCCATCATCCATAAGATACAAGTATTTATTAACAGTTGTCTACGCAAAATACTTCGTATTCGTTGGTCAGACACCATCAGCAACAACGAACTGTGGGAGAGAACAAGTCAGATTCCAGCGGAGGAGGAAATCAGGAAGAAGCGGTGGAAGTGGATAGGACACACACTACGAAAAGCACCTGACTGGCTCACAGGTGAAACTGTTACGCCTGCACGTAAACACGTCATTTTAATATGTTTGAACTATTACGAATTTACCTAGTCGGAAAACGAGAGCGATGATCGAGGATCCGGCGACACGACATGCTACTCTAATCCGATTATCCCAATCCCCATATTTAGTGAAAATAAGAAGACTTGAATGTGAAGTAGAACCTGTATTCTACAAGCATCCAGAAATTACGACGTCCGAATCCAGAAGAGAATCAGGATCCCGGACTAGGGATCCGGGACTGGGTCCTGGTCCTGGTCGTGGTCATAAAACGTTACAGATAATTCGTATTTATACATTTTGGTCGAATAGGAAACAGCATCGAATTCTGTGACATTGACAGTCAGGACAACCAATAAGAAACAACATTGCAGCACGTGACATTGATATCTTGGACGACCATAAAATTGACCAGTAGGAATTAACCAATAGAAATTGACCAATAATTCTCTCAGGATATTGGATGAATATCCTAACAGAAACACAATTGTTAGAGATGGGATGTAATACGTCTAGCATTTATACGCCTCAACAGTGACATTCCAACGGCTTTCTAGATGAAAAATACGTGAACTACTCAATATCTACGACTTTGAGATTTTAGAAGTTTCTGGAAACATGCTGTGATTGGTTAGGCGAAACAGTTATCATCCAATAAGCATAGTATCCATCCGTCGTATTTTAGCGTCCTTCTGTAAGTTTCTACGGATCGTTGATTGGACTAGGCATTCGCAGCAACATTTTCCGAGCCTCCTAGCCTTTTTGTTTTAGGAATTATGTACGAATCCCTAAAAGATTACTTATATGGCATTACTTTTAGTATGATAAGTTTTTTTTCATGAAAGTACACAACTATCATTATTATTATTATTTCATAAGCAACTTTACAAAATATCCAATACTATGGACCAGTGTAAGAATCCTCAATAGATACACATTTCTTTTATTCATAATTAACAAAGATTTGAATGGTTCCATTGTTGATATTCATGATTGATGATGAAATTTGTTCAGTCTTTGTCGGTAATCTATTCATCCTAAAACAAATTGCTTCGATCTAGCTTATTAGTCATAAGTAATTTTTAAGAGAATAGATAGAAGAGATACAAACTTAATCCTCACTATCAACGAGTCAGTATAGTTTTCTCTACTCAATGGAATCTTAATAGGAAACGTGTTTGAAATTCAAGGCTACAGCGACACTGTGTTTAACCAGTGCGATGTAAAAATCAACATTTGATTACAGGTTGTTTCATCATTTCAGCTGATAAGTCTCAAACAGAAAAGAAAAGCATTTTTGCTCAGTTCTCTTCTATGCAGTCAGTCAGTCAGATCCAACGTAGAATTTCGTACGTAAGTACATCAGTTCATGTTGCCATACCACATCAGAACAGAGATATAATTGTCAATTCAAATCCAATAGTATTAGGAGTAATCGGAGAGGTAAGGATGAGAAAATATTATTCAAGAAGTATGATTCAATGAGATAAGTTAGGAAAGTCAAAACTAGAGTTGTTGAAGAAGAATCCAGAAGATTAGGATTTGAGAGAACACAGAGAATAAATGCACCGGCGCCATTGCGAACGATTTTGAGCCATGTCATTCAAGGTCTCTAGCCATAGATTATTATCATCTCGCGGACCCCAACCAGGTAGTCGACACCTACCGACATGGCTAAGTCCACTAGTCAATGACTTCATGGATTTCTGCCATGTTTTGGTTTGGCCGCCCCTACATTTCTTCCAACCTATTCCTACACTACAAAACAAAGCTCGACGAGGCAGTCGGTGGTTAGGCATACGCAACACATGTCCTAACCACCTCAACTGATGAAGTTTCATTACTTCATCTATTGATCTGCCGTTCTTACCTAGCACCCGATTCCTAATAACAGCGTTGCTCACTCGGGTGTCCCACGATATACGAGCAATGCTTCTTAAACATCTATGATCGAATCCTAGTAACGTACGAACATCTTCTACTCTCACTGGCCATGTTTCACAGCCATAAAGTAAGACGGAGCGAACTACTGCACAGTACACTCGTCCTTTAGTCAGCAAACGGATATCTCGCCTACGCCATAAGTGAGGCAGGTTGGCAAAAGCCAATCGAGCCTTCTGTATCCGAGCTTCTTCTATGCAATAACCAATCGTTTTTATAGATGTGAATTCTTTTTGTTTTTTTGATTTGAAACTATAATTTGTTTATTTGACAGAGAGAGAGAGAGAGAGAGAGTGATTACGAATAATTGAACTATTTATTGATTGATTGATCATTGAATGTACCATTCTTGTTTTTTTATTCATTACAAAACATGATTATTTAGATTAGTAAAGTGGAATATATTCGTTATATTAAAAGTTTACCTACAACAGAAATAAAAAATGCTGAAATTTTAATTTTATTAGGTAAGTGTAATGAATAATAAGTGTGATTCACATTCTGAAAATATTATTGTTTTAATAAATGGGTGGGGTTGCACAATATGTTGGATGCCGGATAAGAGGTTAAGCGTTTGTGCACTGAACCGAAAGTCCTGGGTTGGGTTCCCGTGAGCGGGGTTCATGGATAAGCACTACTGATGAGTCCCATACTAGGACTGTGGTGCACGCTACTTATAAGTAGTATATGACGCTAGTAAAAACGTAATGTCTGGTAGCAGAAGATGGGGGAAGATCGAGAAAGGAAGAGCGGGAACACAATGGGATTTATATGAAACGCATGAATAAGTGAAATGTCAGACAATGGATTGATGTTTGCAACAGGAACAGTCCAGTTCGATATGATGGATTGATATTTTGCAAATTAACGATTTACGACTTATGGTTTTTTATTTTACGTGCGTTCTCCTTCACCATAGGACGAAACAGATACTGAAATAATGTATTAAACTGACAAGATAAACGTATTCTGTTAGCTTGAGTGACAGACATATGAATTACAGTCAGATGTATTCTGTTTATTCAAGTGTACTTGATAACCTTGATCATTTGTATGATCTTGAGTGTGGAAACTTCGAATTAGTCTGAAACAATGATCATGCAGACTTCATGATTTGTAATAACATAAGATATTACTTTGTTACACATTTTTGAAACACTTTGTTAAACTCATCACTGGCATATGACAGAATGTACACTGATTATAAATTATCATGGTACCTATACGATGTAAATAGTCGCAACAGAATGAATTATTGCTTGACTAATATATTTGTTATATATATACAATAACTGCAATTAATCATTTTCAAGTATTTCTTTTAGTTTGAACAAAAAAATATTGTAAGGATATTATCGATCCGGGGGACTAGATCTGTAAGCTCAATAGATTAAGATACTCAATCATGTAATGCAGTCAGTCGACTGCACTACACAACCGATAGTCAAAAGCCACAGTACAATGGGAATGTAGCTGCTGCGTTGACGTAGTGGTTAGGCTTGCCCACCTTGATGACCTACCCGAGCTATATTGGCTGGAACATATGTTCCCGTAGGTTCTACCATGACATGTAGGTCGATTGCAGAACGGTGAGACTAAAATCAGCTACTCAAGGTCTGAGGGCGAAGTCGTACTGTTGACTGTAGAGGAGAGTGGCTGCAGTAAGGTGTTTCCCTCGGACAAACATCATCTGCCGCGAAGTTAACTTCTCATCAGGAAGGAAGGGGTTAGAAAAGATCGACCCTAAAAATGTCACACCTTACCTTACCTCATCGATTCCCGTCTTAATCGATAAGACCATTTTAAGAGCGGAGCTAGCACTTCAAACAGGTCCTACAAAAAGGGCGTGCGTGACCAGCCTGAAGCAGTTGTCCCTTGGGCCCTGCGGTCTCGCTTCCACGTTTCTAGGACCATCAAAAATTCAACCTCCTTTATAGGATCCTCAAGAACACACCCTTCCACAGTTTGGGTAGCCGGGAAGTAACATCTGCTCTGATACCCGTAAAAGCACAATAGACCGAATTGGTCACCATCAAATCCTTCCTACAGTAGGTCAGTCAGTCAGCCAGATACAACGTAGAACTTCGTACGTAAGTACATCAGTTCATGTCGCCATACCACATCAGCACAGAGATGTAATTGTCAATTCAAATCCAATAGTAGTAGAGGTAGTGAAGGTATTAGAAGTAATCGGAGAGGTTATGATTAGAAGATATTTTCCAAGAAGTATGGTTCAGTGAGATAAGTTAAGAAAGTCAAAACTAGAGGTGTTGAAGAATCCAGAAGATTAGAATTTAAGAGAACAAAAAGAATGGATGCACCGGTGCCATTGCGAACGATTTTGAGCCATGTCATTCAAGGTCTCTAACCATCGATCATTATCATCTCGCGGACCCCAACCAGGTAGTCGACATCTACCTACATGACATGACTCGGTCCACTTGTTAATGACTTCATGGATTTGTGCCATGTTTTGGTCTGGCCGCCCCTGACTTTCTTCCAACCTATTCCTACACTACATACAGTAGGACGTTAGTTTAGTTCGATAACCAATCATGGCTCTTTTTTCATTTATCACATAACTTGCAATAGTGCTGCTCTATTCATTAAGTTTTTTGATCAATTTTATTTTTCATAGGTGAATATCAAGAGGCTGAATCAATTCTATTACAGAATCATTTCTATTTTCGTGCTATCATGCTCAATGTACATGGATTCCGATGGAATAGGTGAGTGTTAGTTAGTAAATTGACTTTGATCTCTGAGTAACTTCATCTCTTTCTCATTGATATTTTTTTATTAGATAATATCAACAGTGAATTGATTTGTAATATAAAACTGAAATATAGAGTATTGTATCTCTAGTGTTTTGTGACCTCGTTTGTAACACATCAAATTGTTGACACAAAACTATTGAATACCACTGATATCAAAGAGGGGAAATAAGAAAAAAGAAGTTGACATTCATAAAATAACACGGTTATATACAAACTACTTACTATTAGATACAAAGGTGGTAACCATGATTAGATTGCATAAGTAATTTAGTAGGCTGAAGGAATTATTTATGATTAGCTGTCAATAAAAATGGACTATAATGCTGAACTTTGTACACAGTCCGAACTAATGATGAGACCATAATAGTAGATCATATGATTGGATTAGCGTCGGTTTTAGTGACATGGGAGCGTGACTATAGAGCCCAAGGGGCAACTGTTTGAGGCCACTCACGCATGGCCTTTATATAGGACGTTTTTGAAGTGCTAGCTCCGCTCTTAAAATGACCTTACCGATGGAGACGGGAATCGATGAGGTAAGGTAAGGTGTGACATTTTTTAGGGTCGACCTTTTCTAACCCCTTCCTACCTGGTGAGAAGGTAGCTTCGCGGCAGATGATGTTTATCCGAGGAAAACACCTTACTACCGTCACCCTCCTCTATAGTCAGCAGTACGACTTCACCCTCAGCCCTTGAGTAGCTGATTTTAGTCTCACCGTTCTGCAATCGACCTACATGTCATGGTAGAACATACGGGAACATATGTTCCAGCCAGTATAGTGCGGTTGGGCTGTCACAATAGGAACCTCGACCACCATGTCGAGAAATTATTAAGTGAAGTGATAGGCTGGTGTGTTTATTGAAAAAAATAACTCGACTCCTTTTGGTTAATTGTTTGGTAAGATTAAATTTATCTAATTGTTGATAAACATCTCAGATGAGAATAAATCAATCCATAAAAGGGTTCTTCAGTATGGACAAGGTAGGACCTGTGTCAAACTGCTGAAATTCGTGTTCCACAGATTCTCCTTGATTCCACTGCCCGGAATCTGGTTTGTTCTTTCCAAAAGTAGATTGTTTCTGATAGTGTCTGGCCAATGGATCCGAAGTATTCTGCACAGACAACCGTTAATAAACAGATGTATCTTGTGGATGACGGCTTTAGTAGTAGTTCTCCAGGTTTCCGCCGCATACAGAATAACTCTGTTGACATTTGTATTGAAAATTCCGACTTTGATGTTTGTTGACAGTTGTTTTGAGTTTTGGATGTTGTTCAGTTGTATAAATGCTGCCTTCGCTTCACCGACCTGCACCAAGTTCATCATTATTAGATGACTAGTTATTACGAATGCACATAAACATGTCAATTTGATATACTTGAAATATTACGAGTTTACCTTAGTCGGAAAACGAGACCGAGGATCGAGGATCCGGCGATACGACAGGCTACTCTAATCCTATTGTCCCATTGCCCCCATTGAGTGAAAGAAAGAAGACTTGATATGAGTAGAACCTCTTTATTCTACAAGCATCCAGAAAGTACGAGATCCGAGTCCAGAAGAGAACCAGGATCCCAGACTAATGATCCGGGTTCTAGTCATAAAACATTACAGTTAATGCATATTTATACAGTTAAGTCGAATAAGAAACAACATTGAATTCTGTGACATTGATCATTTTAAGTAACATTGATAGTGAGTACGACCAATAGGAGACAACATTGAAGTATGTGACATTGATAGTTAGGACAACCATCATATTGACCAATAGGAATCGACCAATAGAATTTATCGTAGGATATTTGGTGAATATCCAAACACTAGTGTAATTGTTTCTCTTTTGCCTTCTTTGATTCCATTCACTCACTCACTTATTCATCCATCCTCTTACAGAGCACTTGAATTGGCAAATCAGCATAATTTAGCAATTGATATTGTATTATCAATGCGACACAATTATTTACAACAATTAAATCGATCTGAAGAACTACAATCATTTATTTCACAACCGAAACAAGCAAGTTGACCAATACTGTTTTATTTTTCAACATTGTGATTTGATGACAATAATTTATGCATAACTCTTGAGTGTCTTTTCATTCACGTTATATTGAGAAGACTAAGGTAGGCTCGATAGATTATATTTAGCAAATTTACACTCTTAGTCAATTAAAAACGAAAACATTACATTGAGCACTCTATTTGCACACCATCTTTGAGTCCTGACTTCCAACGCTCCAGCCTTCTCTCATTCCTTCCTGTTGGTACTCCATTTACTTCTTGCTTTTGCTCCATTTGCTTTCCGTTTTCCTCTTCTGACCGTGAGACTTCTTCTTTCACGTCCCTTCTTATACTACTTATATCGTTCGTATAAGTAGCACACACCACAATATGATGATTGAAAAAAATATGTCGTATGATTTTTTTTCTCAATAGTGGTTAACTGTAAGAAGTTTTGATATTTTTAGTGGTCCATAAGCAGACTCCTTTATTTACGTACGTTCGAATAGGCTATGAATTATATTTTATGGTTAGCATCTTTTTAGCGAGTTAGTTATTTGTAGTATGGGTTCGCCAACCTCATGTCCAACCATCCTCCTTTATCCGGGCTTGGGAGCGGTAGTAGCCATAGATGGGGCTCCAGGTGGAGTTAGAGAATACTGATCGGTAGCCTATGCTCCATTGGGGTTAATAGGTGTAAGTCAGTAAGTAAGTAAATAAGTAAGTGAGAGTATGTTATGAAATAAATCTCCCCTTCAGTTTCCGTATATCCTACTTAGGACAACCTCGTTTGTGCAACGGCGTTAATTAGAAGACAAATACAGATTCAGTTGGATGAGTTAATTTCTAGCAATCGTACGAACAGACAGATATGAAAGTACAAAGCGTTAAAGCAAAACTTAGCGAAGGAGAGCTAGCCAATTCAGTGTAGTGAGGCATGAATACGCATTTATAGTTAGACAAAAATAAGCTGGTTAGCGTTTTTTTGTCGATGGAATGGGGTCGCCAACCCCATGTCCAACCCTCCTCCTTTACCCGGGCTTGGGACCGGCAGTAGCCCCGAAGGTTCTACTGGAGGAGTTTACAGTTGAAAAATATCTGGAACTCCAAACAACTTTCAATCAAAACCGAAATCAGGATTTTCAATACAAATGTCAAGACAGTTCTACTGTATGGAGCGGAAACTTGGCGAACTACCAAAGCCATCATCCAGAAGATACAAGTGTTTATTAACAGCTGTCTACGGAAAATACTTCGTATTCGTTGGCCAGACACCATCAGCAACAACGAACTGTGGGAGAGAACAAACCAGATTCCAGTGGAGGAGGAAATCAGGAATAAGCGGTGGAAGTGGATAGGACACACATTGCGGAAAGCACCTAACTGCATCACGAGACAAGCCCTCACATGGAACCCTGAAGGCAAAAGGAAAAGAGGAAGGCCAAAGAATACATTACGCCGAGAAATAGAGAAAGATATGAGAAGAATGAACAAACATTGGACAGAACTGGAGAGGGAGGCCCAGGACAGAGTTGGTTGGAGAAAACTGGTGGGTGGCCTATGCTCCATTGGGAGTAACAGGCGTAAGTAAAAATAAGCTAGACATGAGACAAGTGAAGTAAGCTGCACAAGATTATACATATATATCTTGTTGCAAATTGTCAAGTAGATCAAACAATTCTATTATTTGTCAATTGATTTGCATCAATTAACATATATATAATCGATATTAATGGTATCTTATTGTAAGTTTCCCTCTATATCTAATTGTTACGCCTGCACGTAAGCACGTCAACTTGCTATACTTGAACTATTACGAGTTTACCTAGTCGGAAGAACGAGAGCGAGGATCGAGGATCCGGCGACACGACATGCTATTCAAATCCGATTATCCCAACCCCCATATTGAGTAAAAATAAGAAGACGTGAAATGAAGTAGAACCTGTATTCTACAAGCATCCAGAAAGTACGAGGTCCGAGTCCAGAAGAGAATTAGGATCCCGGACTAGGGATCCGGGACTGGGTCCTGGTCATAAAATGTTACAGATAATTCGTATTTATACATTTTGGTCGAATAGGAAACAGCCTCGAATTCTGTGGCATTGACAGTTAAAACGACCATAATTTCGACCAATAGAAATCGACCAATAGGATTCGACCAATAATTCTCTTAGGATATTGAATGAATATCCTAACACTAATGACCATCTTCCAAGAGAACGGCTATCCACGCAACTTCATCAAAAAACATCAACTGAAATCGTAAACAGAAGCGAAATCAAGTACAGGAACTAATAAGCGGATCATCCTACCATACATAAAAGACATATTGGAACATACAGCATGACTACTGAAACCATTTGGAATAGGTGTGGCACACAAACCGACAGAATCACTTCCATTAATTCTATGTAGACCGAAGGACAAAATGACAAAGGAAGGAAATCCAAATATTATATACATAGGATAAAGTGGACGGTCTCTTCAGCCGCGTTCACATGAACACCAATTATCAGTCAAACGCCACGACAATTCTTCACTTATATCAATACATACGGACAACTATGGACATACCGTTCGATTGGAACAATGTAGAACTACTGGGTAGGGGGAGCACAAAGAACACTAGAGAATTTTTAGAAGCTTGGCACTCAGGTCAATCAGCAGTCATCAACAAACACATCGACAATGACTCAATTATTTAACCTATAAACTGTTATTAAACTGCTGTTAATTAATTATTGCTCAATTTATTCTGTTTTGTTGTGCACGTATTCGAAGTCTTGAGTTGTGGTGCGTGCTTCATTGTCATGCATTTCGATGTATATAAATAATTTGTGAGTTGAAGAATTGAACAATCCGATAGGTCGAATCTGTCCTGTATTTTCGTGTTCTAGCATAACCACTCAGGATGGAAAAAGCTACATGCACCAACAAAAGTTGGTAGCTCCAGTTGTTGTTCTTGGTTGAGACCTAAGGTCATTGGTTTTGTTGGGGGACACAGCAAACTCATTAGTGGGCAGGCGATAAAAAGGTCGAAGTTCATAACAACTGAAGGCTAGATAGATAACATGACATGTGATTGTTTGACTGGCGTAAACTCATTCTTAAACTATAAATATACTTTTACTCGACTACTCACTTTCCATTAGATAAAGTCGCATTCTTGTAGACCACAGGTGGGGCAACCGAATTGTATTCAACGAAAATTACAGAGTTACTAAGTAAAATAGGAAAACCATATCGTAAATCGTTAATTTTCAAAATATCAGTTCATCATATCGAACTGGAATGTTCCTGTTGCAAAACATCAATCCATTGTCACTATTCATGCGTTTCATACAAATTCCATTGTTTTCTAACTCTTCCTTTCTTGATCTTGCCCCATCTTCCGCTGCCAGGCGTTACGTTGACGCCCACATCATATACTACTTATAAGTAGCGCACCAATGTCCACTGAAATTACTAAGTTATGAAGTGATGAACTATTTATAAAATTTCAACATATTTCATTATTGACATTTCAAAACAGTACAGATTCAGCATTTGATAAGTTAGATCAACCAGTTCAAGGTTGAGGTGCTGGACAGACGCACACTATTAGTGACAATTTGGCTTATTTATTTATTTATCCAAGGGGAACAGCAGCAGCCATACGCTGTTAGTTGAAATGCTGGCTAAACATTCAAAGGAATGTACATCTTTTATACAATGACGAGTTTTGCATATACTTTGTATCGGGTTGATCGATACAGCTTACCTACTCACTCAAAAACAAAAAACAGCAGAAACACTGCAATTAGAACAAACAGAACATTCCAATTGGCATAGTTGAACTCTATATTAGGTAGACAACGGTACGACTTCAATTCTTTGAAATGGGAAACGAAAAACTTGTAGCTCAGGTGGATGTTGCTAGGGGGTTGCTAGTTTCGTTCTCGTGAGCTCTCTACAATTTTGTTCTTGGATTTATGGAGCTTTCAATAGTTCATTCTACTGAAGCACATCATC